CCCCGTCCCTGTATGGAGCAGGTCGGGGCAAACAGCTCCCGCGGGACAGACGGATGCCACTCGCTCGCTGAACAATTTGCTTCAGCTTCCACATGCCCCTCACCTTTTTGCCGGTCAGCAAATCCTCCCCGAGCAAGTCGTCATCAAGTTCGCTGGGAACAAAAACAAAAGAAGTCGATTTTAAGAGCTGGACTTTAGAAGAACAGTAGCAATCAAAAAGCCTCCTTAAAAGCAATTCAAGCCCTACAGTATGACCTTTGTTGCGCAGTCATTTCCTTACTCTGGGCCTTCCCTGGCCTTCATGCCAGGAAGCGCCACGCAGGCCTGGCCATCATGCCGGCCTCGGGAGGGTGGTGAGCAGAGGGCTGCTCTCGAGCCTTCCTTCCAGACCAGTTGGACACGCTGTCCACAAAGCTCTCGCCCACCTCCCCAAGGACCGGGCAGGCCAGGTGACCACGTCCCCCGGGCAAGGCCGAGGCCACAGGCCGCCCACAGCCCGCGCTGAACCGAGCTGCGCTGCACGGAGGCGGCAGCCGGAGGCTGTCTCAGTAGCCATGCAGGCCCAGGGCTCTTGGAAACCTCCCCGCTTTGAGGAGAAAAGAAAGCACCAGTCGAACCTGCTCAACACCTTTTCAACAGCAGTTAAGAACTCGTGAAGCATAAAAATATCTTGCTCACAACACTCCTTCCAACACATTGCATCTCTCCTGTAAACAGGGAGCACCAGAACCATGTTCCCAGATACCTAAGCTTTAGGACAACTGCTTAGTGCCATTTTTCCTTCACTGAAAGGAAAGGAAGGCCTTCTTGAGAGAATACTTAGTACTGGTAAATATATCAGAACATGCACATCCCAATATGAGACAACAGCGATTTGAAATAGAAACTATAATTCAAAAACTTGGGCCTTTGATAACACGCAAAAATAAATACCCCAAAGTGACATGGGGCCATATGACTGGAGAAGATGTTGAAGCAAAGTTTCACCACCCCACAGGGAAAAGCACACTTGCCAGCTTTCCAAAGCAGCCAAAATATATATATATATATATATATCAATAATAAAATAAATCCCCATTGCAGTAACTGGATGTTGGAGTTTCTTAGGAATACAGAGGCAATACTTGTAAATAGGAAGGCCAATTCCAAGATAGAGGCTGATGCTAAGTATTATGCCTGCAAATGAATACATCTCTTTCAGAGATGGTTAATGTACGGATAATACATGGGAGAAACAAATAAAAATATCTCGAGCACTTCTAGAAGGCAGCAGCAGATATTCCAAGTTAGCAGTGACCAGGTGGTTATCATCAGTACACAGTATTTGTTCATACTTACCGAACTCAAACAGTTCTAGGAATGACTGGACATTAACAAATAGCAATTGCCTTGCATTCACTGTAATATTAAACAGAGAACTGGGACACACAAGAAACATCACACATCCCAAAGAGTGAAATTACTAGCTCTGGACTTACTAAAACAAGTCCTTTATTTCAGAGGTAGAGGATTCTACATAACAGGAATGGTTTCAGAAGAACTCAGAGCCAAGCCAAAACTAGGAAAAGAGTCACTAATCTCTTCAACACCAGAATGACTGCCAGTAATTAAATAAATTAAATAAATAAAAGATTTGAAAATATTTTCCAGCACTGTGGCCCACCTCTGACTGCTTTTAATAAAACTGCTAGAGAAATCCCCAAAGTCTGCAAGAGTATTTGTGTTGTGCTGGAATTCAAAAAGCAAATTGAGCTGGTGAGATATTCTAACAATCTCAGACAAGAAAAGAAGGCCAAAAAAAAAAAAAAAAAAGGAATTAATCATTTAAATACAGTGAATGCTCTTCAGCACACTACAAAAATATGTCTTTGATACTCAATCTCCTTCAAGAGATTATTTGGGCAACTGAAGTAACTGCATACACATTCTAGATCTTTTAAAAGCTTTAACTTACTACATGTCAGCCTAAAAATTAGCACTAGCACATAAGTGGAACTCATGACAAACGAAGATAAATGAAGAACTAAACCAAGATGCATTTTCTTGATAGAAGCTAGAGTGTTTCATAGACCGTTCCTGTTGCTACATTCAATTCTATTCAATATTTTCACTGATAATGTAAAAAAAATTAAATAAAAATTGCTGCCAAATATGAAAATATGGTCATATTTTCACATTTCACAAATAACAGTGAGAAGGTTAATAAATTATTTTGAAATTTGTTGCCTACATATCCCCAGCTTTTTTCTTTTTTTGTTTAACATAGCCAAAGTTACACATTAGGAAGAAGAGAAAATCAAAATCTAACTACTTTCAAAAAGACACAGAAATTCAGATCAGCAGAGAAGAATATGACCGCAAACTAATGGCTTGAAGCTGTAACCTCGCCGCACCACGGTAGACAGATTAAAATGTGATAAAAGAACACTTTTGTGGCTGTCCTGAAAGGAAAAATCCACCCCCTGACTGTCCGAACAGTAGATTGCACAACTCCAAGTCTTCAGATCAAGACAAAAATCTATTCAAGACAACATTTCCATGAAATTGGGACTAAAACTCTAGCTCACTCTTATCAGTAAAGGAGGCCCTTCTCCATCAACTCTTCATCCCCTTCCTCAACTCCCAATGCACAGAAGTCTCCTCACTGAAAAAGCTCAGCTCACCAAGTGGGGAAGGGAAATAAACAAACACCCTCAAACTCAACAGGGTGAGAAGTTTTCTGCCTGTGTAAGGAAATGAATTATCTCCATCATGGGCGAAGACGGCAAATTTCAGTAAGAGCCGCCCAGTACATCAACCCTGCCATGGCACTGGAGGGCATCAGAATGGCATGATTTTTTTTTCCCAAACCCAAGCTTTGGGTTTGCTTACAGAATTAATGTATAAATTAACAGTTCATGAATAGGGGTCAGACTAAGCAGTCCCTTCTAACCTCCAATTTCAGGAGTGTGCCTCATTAAACATGAGCACCTACAAGGACAATTGTTTTTTGGAAAAGCCATTAAAATAAGTAAATAATTAAAATTATTTACTTTTACTATTACTATCAGTACTACTTTTACTATGATGTTAATTTAAAAAAACCTAACGAGAAAAAAATGCCCAGAATATCAGTATTGCAGAATAATTGGGGCCTTCCTTCCAGCCTGTGATGAACAGTCTCCTGCACTGCAGGAATGAAAATGATCCAAGGAATCAAAACAATTTTCATGACAGTGGATGGGAGTTGGATAACCAGTAACGCAGAGAGAGAGAGACAAGGCCATGATACCATGATGTATGCCTAAAACTGTAAATCTGCTAAATAAATAAATATTTAGGTTACAAAACAAAGTATTAGATTAAAAAATAATAACAACTGAGTTTATTCAGCTTTTACTCTATCCTCACAAAACTGTATTGTCTACTCAATGAGGGCACTGGTTGCAAAAAAAAAATAATAATAATAATCCCCTTAAGTAATTATGTACCCTTGCAAGGTGGGTTGCATTTTCAGTTGCATCACAAAACTTAAATTTGCAAAGAGATCTAAGCAATCTGTAGAGGATAAAAACAAGTATCTCCAAACACGAGCGAATAAAAAATATGTTATTATTTACAGCTATAAAATCCCTTTCTCAAATAACCAACCAGCCAGATAAGTCTGTGCAGCCTACAAGTTTGCACCTAGAGCTACTTCCCTTACAATTTCACTACGAGGAGAACAAAAGATAACTTTGGGTCAACTGTCTTAAGCTATATACAGCTAACAATAAATAAAAATAAACAGCAGTCTTTCCTCTCAAAGTAAACCTTTGTCCACTCCCAAGTCCCAACTAAGCAAAACACCTTATAACCTTTTGCAACTCCAGCAGCAGGCACTTCGCTACTTGCTTTACAACTGTCTGGAACTCGTCTAGGTTTTCTGGATTACGATCTCCCCCGAATATCAAGCGTGTGCCCGAAAACTCAGGATTTCAGGCTATATGGGCTGCACCGTGTTAAGCGTGACAGCACCGCCCGGGGCTTGGCAAGCTGCACAATTAAGTGACGTAGCTTTAACGAGACATTTTAATTGCCTTCGCAAACTGGATGGCTTGAGTCAGGTCGAGGAGCAGCCCAGACCCAGTGGGGGAGGTCCCTGTTGCGACTTAGGCAGCATCTCCAGCAGTGACAACAGCTCCTCGCCTGCCCCAGCAGGAAAGCCCGGCGGAGCAGACTAATCCCTCCGGAACAAGGATAATGAGCAACAGCTGATTCATTCTGAGGGGCTCAGTTCAGCAGAAAACTGTGTATAGGGAGGTTTGTTTACCACATTCAAGTGAATATCATTTGAAAACATATAAATATATGTAAATAAAAATATAATATATAAATATATGTATATTTTTATATACAGGAAAGGTCTGAACAAGCATCTGGGCCTACTAAAACTAAAAGCAAAAAGAAAGAATAAACTAATCCAGGCAGCAGTCTGATTCAAATCTATTCCAGTTACAGGACCTTAGCAGGAAAGTACATACATTCATCTACCTCTCCAAATTAAGTTGATCCATAATTCCAAATCTTTACAAGAATGGTCATATTTTTCAGTAGAAACCCACTCCCTTCCTCATCCCCAATGTGAGGCTGAATGAGGATTTTGAGGATAAGAATTTAAACAGCTATTTCAAAAAAAAGGCCTTAAATTGAGCACTAGCAAGACTATTGAAGTCGAAGATGTAAATATTTGCAGGAAAAATCAGGACATCAACTGCAAACTTAATTACATACCGCAAATGCTTTACAGTTATCCAATTTTAAATGATCTCTATTCATAGCTCTGTATCGCTCAAGGCAGGCATATACCTCTGGCACAATCTAGTGTCTGCTGACATACATATAACCACCAACAGCTTAATTAGTAGCTAAATGTGCACTAGCCTAAATGTTAGAATACAAAATGCCACAACTGGAAAACAGAGCTTTGCAATTCAGTCTACAGACTATGAACATGAAAAATTTCTACCTACCTGTCCCAGTCGTCATCTCCAGCTCTTCTTCTCCAAGACCTTTCCGCACCAGGCTTATCAAACTGATCAAAGTCATCATCTGTAAAGAAGACGACTATATTAAATAATTCTCATTGAAATTGAAGAAAGCTTCTGAAGCAAAGGCTTTTTTTTTTTGCACTTTCCAATTTACACGAGGAAAAAAGCAGATAAATACCAATGTTTATTAGTATTTTCTTCAAAAATAAAGTCATGCAACACAGTTTCCATCTTTTCACTGTTGAGTTGTGAGGCAAACAGAAATAATCACTGAGAAAAAAAAAATCACTAGAAAAGTTTGCCACTGGAGATGATGCCAGCAGCAGGGGTTCCCAAGCAATCTGGTACTATGGGAGACAACGGGACAGAAGTGGCCAGAGCTCTGAGCTCCCATAAGCTCCCACTGAAACCAGAGCAACCTCAAATCCTGCACAAGGCAGGAAAGGGGGCAGCAGCCTGAACAGGAGCACAGAAGTCAACCAGGACACCACTGATTGTCTCAGCTGGGGCATTACAAAGAGGACTCCATACATACATTTTCCTGACTGCATTTAATCGAAATGCACATTTTTAGCGACTGATAGAAATTCAAAAGCGGGGGAAGGCATTCAAAAGTGAAAATTTAGATTTGGCAACAGGTTTCAAAACAGAAATTACAGGTATACAGAGGCATGAAAATAAAAAGGGCTCACTATGAATTATGGTGCAATAAAAGTAAAATGTGTCAATTTTTCGCTTTGGTAGTAGCACCAACTTGGTAGTTGCAATTCCCCTTCATCAGAGGGGACTACATACCAGCCACATTTTAACCTATTTATTTATGCTAACACCATGAAAACAAATTGATAACTTGCAGTCACCAATTCAATTATGATCTTTATATCACAACCTCCTCCACTGCAATCCCTACTCCACCAAGAGAGGAGAGACAGATGGATATTTAAGAATTTACTGTCTTCCTCTTCAACTCTGTCCTCCTTGCTGGTCTCTTAAATAACCAACCCATCCATCCCTCCAAAAGGTAAGACGAAAAGTCCTTTCAGCCAGTCAGAGCTGTGCTGCAGGGATGCTCTTCGTGCATGGCCGTTTGGCTACAAATGGGCTCCAATATCCTGCAGTGTCATTATCCTTGCAGCTGAATCGCACTGATTCAGCGCAATCATTGCCCAAGGTAGTCTCAGGTGATGTGACTGGTTTTGAACCAATTCAAATCAGGACTGTTCTCATATATACTAGGGTAACTCAAGGCTCTAAGCACCAGGAAGCAAGCAGTGATATTTCTATCTGTGTATGTTCACCTGTAAAAGAAACATAATTTTCCATTTCCTGATGACTACAGAGAGCTGTATGATTATAAAGCAGTACAGCTTGAAGGCAATATCTTAGCTCTATAGTAATCCGAATTCAGCACACATTTCTTACTCAGATGGACCTTCACTTCAGCCAGGTTTAGAATCTCAAAATCAGAAAGCTACACGTCAAAGCTCTTGATCTGCAGACACTTCCCTTCAATGCAAAGAATCATTTCTCAGTATAATCCACAGCACTTCTCTGGCCAGACACCTAAGCTTATCTGACATAAAAATGCTCTACCTTATCACTACTGCTAGCAAAGAAGTGATATTAAAAGGAGGACCCCATTCTAGACATGTTTCTAGGCTAGATCTGTGCAGTTCTCCAGGAAGGGACATCACCAGTTACACATCTGGGAATCCCTGGCACAAGCCCTCATGTCCAGTCTCAAGGTACCCAGCAAGCCTCAACCGAGCACAGCTTCTTTTTCATCTCTGAACTTTCAGGTATTTTCACTTTCCCTCTACTGTTCTAGTTAATAAAATTGGAAAACACCAGAAATAAACACCACTTGCCACAGTATCTTCTTAAAAGCTGCTTTGGAAAGTCAGAAAGACTAGTCTCGTAGGAAGAACAAAAGGAGGAATCCACAGCTTGGCTCTCTGTAGCACTAAGGAAAATCAGGGCACTCGCACAGCCTCGGAGCTGTTTTCTTAGCCAAGTCTGTCTCCCCGGGGCCTCAGCCAAGCCCTAGGGACTGCCAAACACCCTCCGTTCCCCACACTAACAGCGTTTCCACTTACTTTCTGCTTATCCCAGCCTAGCACTGCAGAGCTGTAGGCTCCTCAACAGCTTTTTTTGTTGTTGTTTCCTCAGTTACATGCGAGTAACTGTTAGATTCCCCCCCCCTCCCTGGCTTTGCAAGAACAGATCATCCAGGCTAGCGATCCACAGAGCACAAGCTGCTTTTCCTCCCTGGCTGCACTGGTGGGAGCTTCCAACCCTCCAGGCACCTTCTCAATAAAATTTTCCCTCGTTATTTGCTATATGAAATGGGAGGCCTGAGCCACAGCAATCCCTCTCCCCAAAGCCTCCCGAGCGTAGGAGGTGAAGCAGCAGCATAACTGTGAAGCAGAGCTTTGCTGCGCCTTGCAACGGTACCAGCCTAAACAGCGCAGCCTAAAAAGGCAGCCCTACATGGCAACTGTTGCTAAGACAGAATATTTTCCTGTAAGGACATGCCCAAGACATCCCAACAAGGAAAAAAAAAAAAAAAAACACTGGAGGACTGTGTTGATCTTCGTACAAATGCACCAGAAAACCTTCTGTAATGCGGGCTCCAAACTGCCCCATAAACCTCCTTAACTGCTCTAGATGTTGTCTTTGAATTCATTCCAACATTTTGTCCCTGTGAATACCAGACATACTATTATTTTCAGGTCTCAAAAAAGCACATTGAAGGTTTCTTCTTATCCACGAGACACTGGAGAAAAGTCGTTTCCTGCAACAAAGACCTTTTCAGTGGGTAACAAACCATCATTCCTTGAGCACCCAACAGGTCTTTTAACAAAGTAACTATGTGCACTGATGCTGGGATGAACAGAAAAAGGGGGTTAAAAGACATAAAAAACCAGAAATGTCAACTACCAGATGAAAAAAATGCCACTTATCTTCCCTTTAACACTGAACATAAGCAATTCCATGGTGATCCATCCCATTTCCCAGCATCATTTTTAAAACACCCAACATGACAACTTGACAGTTTTTCAAGCATAAGTTTCCAGAGTTAAAAAAAGAAAAAGAATCTTCCTATTAGCTTATCTGTATGTAGTAGTTTATTTGCCCAGAATATTTGTCCTCATATTTCACTGCAAGAAGTTTCACAAAAAAAAAAAAAAAAGGTTTTATATAACTTGGGTTTCCAAAAACTGAGTGTACAAACAAGAGCCCTATTCTGTTTTGAACTGCAGTTTTGTATCTGTGGGATATAGAGGAGGGATAACAGGTTTCTAGAGTAACGGCCAAATCTGAAACATAAGACAGCAAATGTACCTCTGCCATTAGTGCTCGCTGAATAAAAACTTTCCTGCTGGTGCAGGGTGTTGGGGCTTGGGAATTTTGTTTGCTTTTCTAGTGTAGGAGCACAATGGAACTTCTGAACCCAATACTGTCATTTAAACAACACGTTATGAAGTACAGCACGAATCTTGCCTCATTTATTACAGGCAACCAAGCTCTCTATTTATATGACAAGACTCATCTTCACTCCTACTCCTTCATTATACACCAAAAAAGTGCAAAAGTACACTGTACACAGACATAAACTGCACAGCTTATGTGTTCAGCAGATAGACATCATATAGGCTTTATATTAGTAAACCATTACCCACACAATTCTTAGGAATTCAGTAACTGAGTCCCTGCAAGAGCATATTTTATGGGTTTGTTCCAGATTACTCCCATAGGAAAGTGGTTTGCATTCTCAAAGAAAGGTATAAAAACTCTTTTCTATAGCAGACAAGATATTTTTGTCTTTTTTAGAGAGTTTGACATGATGCAAATCGGGCCACTAACCATAAGCAAAAATGGAAAAAACGTTGATACAAGAGGCTCTCCTCGTGATCACTGCCAGAAAGAAACCTCTCTCCTCCTTTTTCATTTTTTTGGAGAGGGTGTGGGAGAGCAAATGAACCCCCAAGACATTCCAAAATGCTTTGAATTTGAAAGTACATTTGTTTTCAAAGAGAAAGAAAAAAGAAAAACACTTTAAACTCATGATGCCTGCTACTGAACAGCAAAGTCCAAAGATTTAAATGAAAACCACATGAATTTGGTTCCCAAACCATTCTGGACACTGATCAGAAACTTCAGCTCTCCAGCGTCGTTCACTGCCACCACAAACCGTAGCTAAAAGCGAGGCTGGCACCACAGCAGAAGGCAAGTCAGTTCCGACTGCATTTGCTGCTCACAGAGGTCTTTGCTGCTGCTGTTGGGTCATGGCCATCATGAACCTTTCACTTCTGGACAAGACATCCACAAGACCTAAACTCAAAGATTTACCATTTGGCAAAACTAAGCACATCTTAGCTTCTATAAAAACACAGCCAATTTTAAGGTTGTATTTAATTCCGGTGACAAGAAGTGAGGGAACATTCAGAAGAACGTGACTTCTAGCAAAAACTTTTCAGAAAAACAGAATCTTCCTGCTTAAAAGCAAACTTGCCTGCCACAAGCTGTAACGGCTTTTTGCTCTAGTCCATAGCTGATACAATAGCCCATGACCACGTATTTGGATTTCAAGAACTATAAACTCTACAGGTTTTTGGCATTCAGGAGTTTCAATATAGGCATCCTCTGATGTAATTATAAGCAACAGCGACCCAGCTGCGTCAGGCTGCCTAATAAATTAGGCTGCAATGCTCACAGAGACCAAAACACAGCCAGAACTTTACCCACTTCAGGGATTTAAAAAAAAAAAAAAAAACAGTTTATTTCCAGGTCCTGCAAGCTGCTGTGTAGTAACCTGAAGCAAGACAAATTCCTCTTCAGGCAGACTGGAGAATTTCCACTGTGCCTGTGAACCGGAGCATGACTGGCAACGTGCCTGCACTGCTGGCTAGCACTGGACTTTTTTCCTCCCACCAAGTTTATGAGAGGCAACCAAAACACTTTGAATGTCTTGCAGCTTAAATAGTCCTAAAAGGAGGCTCTGCATGGCTGACACTTCTCCCAAGCATTTCCTGAGTTCAAACCACTAACGATGCTGGCAAGGAGCACAGTGAAGCCAGACTATCTTCCTGTCAAAATACCGAGTGCTTTGGGAAGTGACTGTTTACCCAATTTTCATCTAATATCAAACAGATTCAGAATAAACCTACCCTGTCCACTAGGACAGAGGCAGATTAAAAAGAGATAAAAATGTAAGAATACCACTGAATGGAAGTGCCTTCACCCAACACCACCAAATTCCCTAACAGGAATGGTAGCCCTCAGGTCACTTAGAATGAAACTAAACTGATGACAGCTTAACTTCAAACTGGAGAAATGACAACACAGCTTTAAGGGTAGAGAGACAAGACATTGGGCAAGAAGATGGGAAAAATGTCTAGGTGGGAACCTCTCCAGCTCTTCCTTCCTCCCATTCCACATCAAAATCTGGAAAAGCTCATGATTCCCACCCCAAGGATATCTGCATTCAAGATCTTCCAAACTACTGATGTTGTTCAGAACTGTGCTCATCAGGAAGGAATAACAACTACAGCAGCCATCGCTCGCCGAAGTTCATGCTTCAGCGCTGACAGTTCAGCGACAGCAGATCCGCAACAGCCACAGTAAGAAATGCTCCTTCCTACATTTTAACAAACATTTTGTTTAGCTCTCCTTGCATGAGCAAGCACCCCTCATGAACAAGATTAAATACTGTCAATTTCGACCTAAACTTTGAACACCAAGAAGAAATCTCAGCAACTACACAACATTACATCATAACCAGTTAACTTGAGATTCGACATGTTGATTAAAAATTTGAGAATCATTAACTGTATTAATAGACCAACAAGTGTCTATCAGCCCTCCAAGACCCCCATCCTCACCAGCACACGTGCCCATATTTCAATATAACCACTCTAAAATAAGCAGCAAGTTGAATCAAGCTGTGTGGCAAAGGAGTTTGTGAATTAATACAAACTTATGGACAACTTCCAAAGACCCCAGGGACCACCCCTTGGGAACCTTCCAGTTTATGCTTGGGAATCCTCTCACTGAAAGAGTCTTAACCCCCATTCTTAAAAAGCTGCATCTACACAAAGATCTGGTCACATAAACTCTGCATCTGAGAACTGATGTTTCCCAAGAGCCTAAGAGATTATTAAAGACCAAGAAGCCTGCACACACTGCTTCATTATAGATCCTCAAGACAAACCACCTTCCTTCCATCCCACCAAATGTACTTCAGATTCCAGCCTACACAGCCACTTCACTTTTAAGCCCTGCATCCAACCCTTACAGCAAGTTTTAACTTTAATCTGTGTCTTCAAAGCCAAAGCTGCCTCGCCCTGTCAACTGTCACCTTCCAATGAAGTCAACTTAAAATTCCCATTATTTTTCCAAGAACTTCTGTGTTTCTTCACCAGTCATCAATAATGGCCTTTTCTGTTTGAACCAGAAATGCTTGGTTGCTATTATGTCCATATTTGAAAGCTTTTTTCCCCTCCCCCACAGGATCCAAGAGCCAAGTCTAAATCATTATTAAACAGCTAAAACTTTAACTAAGCAAAACTGTCATGGATCTAAGCTGTGAAATCAAAAGGCCCTGGCCTTGTCACCTTTTTTGTTTGTTTTTGGATTCCTGCTTGTTTTTCTTCTCATTTTTGTTACTACTATTGGCTTTTACTAGCATTTCCAAAAAGAGCTAAATATTTTATTTGTGTAAATCCCACTAAGAACCTAGCATTTAGAAGTTATTTTTAACAATTTCAACCAGAACTTTTCCTTGTCTAGCTAAAATGAGATAAAAATTTGTATGACATCTCTGGGCTCTTGCATTTAGATAAGTGTTGCATGAAGAACATTTAGATTCAAACTACGCCTGCTATTTATATGGGGCAATGATAATATTTAATTAATCACTGCTTAATGATGAACACAATGTTAACTCTGAACAAACAACTGCTTGTGCCCACTTACTGCAAAAGGATTCTGATTCACAGTCAGGCCAAACAGTGCTCACAACAATGAAACTAGGCTGGAAACTGCATTTCATCACTTAGTTCTGGACATTGTCTGCTGCACACATCTGTATGGGAAAAGATGCAGCCAAGTTTAAACCCCAGAACCAAAATGCTTAGAAAATGACACATTCTTTAAAATGCTCTGCCCTCATAATACTAGAGGAAACTTCCGGATATAGAATACAAGCCTGGAAATATTTTCATGATATTTAAATGTAACCTATGTGAACCACAGGAACCAGCACGAACGTTTTTGTAAAGTATCTCAGTTATCACGATATTTTTAGCACCATTACATCGAGGCTCCATATTACCAATTATTTACTATTTTACAATGCCGCCATTCCCTGTCTGTCCCCAGAAACCCCCCCCCAGATTTTGAGAAGTCCTTGACAACATTAATACAAAGTACAAATTTTATACTAATCGCGCTTACGTGCTTGGTTACCAACTAAGCTAGCAAAGGCCAACGGCCTGATCGCTCTGGTGCGTGATGCCACGCACAAAATATGCATCGTGACAGCCAGTTAGAGAAAACCACTGCCCCAAATCACCCCCGCCTTCCGCGGGGACAAAGGCAAAGGACTAAGTGACAACTCGGGAACGGATCGAGGCCCTCTCCCCCCGCCCCCACCGAAACTGACGCGGGTCTCGTCCGTTTGAGGCGCTGC